TTTTTTTTTTTTTTTTTTTTTTTTTTTTTTAAGGGAGGGAGGTCACTGTTTCTCTTCCCCCCTCCTCCCGTGCGGGGCCCCGTGGGATGCTCAGCTCCCGGGCGCGGTGCGGTGCGGAGCGATGCGGCCCCGCGGGCACAGCGGCTGTGCGCGGTTGTTATGGCAATGGGAGGAGGAAGAAGAGGAGGAGGAGGAGGAAGAAGAGAAGGAGGAGGAGGAGGAGGAAGAAGAGGAGGAGGGAGAAGGAGGAGGCAGCCCCGCCGCTGCTCTGCTGCCTGGCGCTGCCCCTCCTGACTGAATGAAGATAATTCGCATTGCACCAAAACCGCGCACGTCAAACGGGAGGGGAGGGAAAGCAGCGAGAGGAAAAAAAAAAAAAAAAAAAGGGAAAGCAGGGGAAAAAAAAATAAATTCAAAAGCCACACCACAAACGGCGGCGCTGCCTTGCCGGGCGCTGCGCGGGGTTGCACCGGGATGCGCGGGGGCTGCCGTGCCCACCTGCCTCGCACGCAGATACACACCCTGGGATACAGAAACGCACCCCTTGGCAAGGACCACTCTCACCCAGCATAGCCCTCGGCGCACCCAGCGAAGCGAGGGGCACCCAAACTGAGGGGTCGCGCAGCCCAGGGGCAGGGGATGGGGCACCGCGCAGCCCCGGCCAGAGCCCCGAGCCCTGACACGGTGCCCACCCCGCCGGCACCGCCGTCTGAGCCGGGCACGGCATCGGCCTGTCACACTGTCACACACGCGTGGCTGGGATTATTGCTAAAAGCAGCTTTTTCTCGGCGACACTGAGACCTCTAGCGTCGTCGCATCGGGCATGTGCTGAGCTCTGATGTGGGGTGACAGGCAGGATTCCTCAGACGTCAGGGAAAATGACAGTCTAGGCTAACCGAGATGTGTTTATAGTTAAGATCTTCAGAATAGGTAAGGCACTAAAAAAGTACAATTCTTTTGGGACACCCAAGTTAGTTGACTAAATCAGAGGCTTTGCTGCCGACAGGCACAGGCACTCCAGCGCCTCCAGGGCACCTCCAAACCTGGTCAGCTCCAAACCTGATCATCAAACCAGGACCTGGAAATAAATCTAAATACAAGGAGCTAAATAACATTTACTGTACTAATGTGATTGTACGTGCATAACTGTTTAACATGTATTGTGTCTTTTAACAGATTCCTTAAAATTCTACTTTAGAAGCTGGTTTTCCAGATTTCTCGTGTTTAATGAGCAGAATGTACCAGGTATCAGCCTTTGAGGCTTATCCTGGGTCTGGGCTGAGCTGTGCTCTCATCTCAAAGGGGCTGTAGCAGAGGTCAGAGTTCATAGGTGGGTGAAAGTGTAAACTTGGAACACAGGTTGGGGTGTTTGGTCAATGCTACCCTCTGCTGGGCAGAGCCACTCAGATTTGCATGTGCCAGCCCTGATTTATTACTCTACCCCTCTACTCTGATGCTTTGGTGACTGTCCAGCCACATGGACAGCCCAAACATCTCGGAATTTCCTACAGTGGATGCTTGTGTCACAGCACGCCCTTTGGAACAGATTTCCTTCTGCTCATGGCTCATTCCTCTCTTCTCACTACCCTCAGGATTTTTCTTTACTACATGATCTTTCCAACCTGCTCCCTGGTAGTGTCACCAGGAGTCCTCAGGCAGCCTCACAATGCCACTGCATACCTGGGAAATGAGAGATGTGACTGACCTGAAAGGATGCAGCTGACTACCAAATACAAATTTCCCTTCAACCCACACCACTGTGATGTTTCCTCTCTTTTTCACCACGTCTAAATCACTTGGTACTAGAAATGGCACGCTGTGATTTGGGGTTACTGAGTGGGGCTGCTGACAGGTAACCTCCTGTCTTCAGAAGATTGAGAGAGCGTGTGAGGCCAGAGAAGGCAAGTGTGATGGTCTGCCCTGACCTCCAGCGTGGTGGAAGCCAAAGAGCTCCATCCATCCAGGAGAAGAGCACTGTAACTTACCCTGGAGCTATGGCACAGCAAAACCATCCACCACTATTATTTATGGTTGCCACATTGGTCCCCCCAGCATCATGTTAAAATCTCACTGCATAGACAGCGTCGCCCACTTCTCCATCCCTGCTTTCAGCCAGCAAAAATTTTACTTGAAATTGCTCAAATTCTTGCCAATGCTGCAATTTCTCAGCATCAACACGTCATTAGTTAAAGGTAAAAGTACAGGTCAGTCTGTAAATCTAAGTTCTATTTTCCTTATTTAACCTGCACCTTTAGCACGGCATGAATGTGCTTTTTTTGTGACAAAATAACTCACATTTGAAGGTACTGGTAATATAGAAATCTCTGGAGCCATTGCAGTTTTAATGAGAAGTGCAGGAGATGCTCCCATTAGGCAGGGACCACTGGCACAATAGACTGTAAAAGCCCCTTCAGAGTCATTACAGTCTGTCATGTCAGGCTGAATTTAGGGAGTCTGTAATCTTCCTTGACTGACAAGCTCCTGCAGAGCTATTGTAGGTATTTGAAGAACAGGGTTTTTTTTTTTTTTAAATTGAAAATCTTACGTGAAAAGTTCCCTCTGGAGTGGCAGGATATGCTGCAGCTGTGGGGCTCTGCACGGCTGTATTCAGAGTTTAATTACGTACAACCAGATTACAAGAACAGAAATGCTGGCATTAAAACTGACAATAAAACATTAATTCAGGCCCTCTTAGTGGCTGCATGGAGGCCATCTCTCGTTACCTGGGCATGAGCAGACGTGGCTGATGTGTGTTTGGAAGAGCTACACACGCTGCACATGCACCCAACCACTCCGTGCAACAAGAACCCAAACCCTTCACAGCACGGATGGACAAGGTCCAGCTTTTTTTTTTTTTTTTTTTTTTTTTTAAAAAAGCCTCCCATGGAAATATTGTAAATTTAGGGGAGAAACTGCAAATCGACTTCTACGAGAGATATTTTATTTCAGGATAAAGCGATGGGATTTTGGGAGTAATATTTGGAACTGCGTTTTTACTACTTGGGTCCTTCCAAATGTTCCATATGTATGGTATGGCCACGATCACTGCTGGCCCTTAATGTGGGCACTGTGCAAAATGCACTGTCATGAACAGAAATAAAGGAGTCCTGTCTGCTTTTGAAGCTTTTCCAATTGTAACCTGGTTTTCTTCTTAAATTCTGTAACACTGGATGTCTTTCCCAAGATTGTTTCTAAGCCATGCAATCTGATCTCCCTTTCCAGTTACAACCCAGCACTATTGATGCTTTTCTGCAAGAGCATGAGAAAGGTGCCTGTCACTCAACTGCCGGGGCCTAACCCCAGCAGAGGAGCACCCACATGTCCCAGGGTGTTTAGGGTTAAAACCTCACGTGCAGGATGCAATCTGCAAGGCAGCAACTCCAGCATCTGAGCTGGAGCAGCATCAACGTAAAGCAAACAGCACTCGAGCCCACAGCTGTTCTCTGCTTGCTGCCTTTCCTGCCACGCAGCAACTTCAGAAAGCGGGGGGTTTTCTCCTGCTCATGACAGAAAAAATTTGGGCCAGCCCTGGTGAGAGGAAGGTGGATTCCTGGTGTCACACACACGTAGGTGTATGCACACATGCAACCTGCAGGAGAGCAGGAGCGAGGTTGTTCAGCGCTGGGCCGCTCCCACCGGCGCTGATAACAACATGTCATGCCCGAGTGTAGACCTTGGCTGGAAGTCCAAAGCAAAAGTGACATCTCAGGTGCTTCGTGGCCTCTGGGACAAGCCTGAGATGAAATAAAACCCTGGGGCAAGGCATCAAACAAATTTTGGCAGCGCGTGTTGCTGTCTTATTATTTTTAGATGCCAGATCTGACTAGCATGGTAATAATTCCATCCAAACTCACTTTGTTTTTCGTGCATTCACAGCATTTCTTGGCCTTTTCAAGGGTGGAAATGCCGCAGCTCCAGCCTGTGCTTCACTTGGAAATTTGGAGGAAATCCTCTTGTGTATTATGCTGAGTCGTGAGAAAATTAACTTATTACTAGATTTGCTTGCTTAAAAAGAAGAGAGGCAAAATTGCTTATTTTAAATGAGAAAATTGCTTATTGTAAAAAAAAAAAAAAAAGAAAGAAAAAAAGGCTATTTCTTTAATTGGATAGTAAGTTAAAAGAACTGCATTTTGAAAGGTGCACTTTGATAGGTTTCGGGTTTTCACCACAGTTGAAACTACTACTTATGGTTTTAATGTTTTCCAGATTAGTTTTGACACCACAAAGTTCAGTACAGAAAATAATAAACTCATTCAAGAATGTCCACAACAGCAAAATGAACCTGCTGCTGCTGCAATGTTCCTTTGAGCTAATTTAGGACTTTTCAGTGATTTTAGGGGACTTTGACTCGGTCTGTAAATCAAGAGGCT